TATATATATATATATATATAATGTGTAGGATTCAGGGATCAATAATTGCTTATTGAAATGAAATATCCCTATGTACCGGTATTCATTGCATTATTGGCTTTAGGCCTAATACAGCATGAAAAATTGACATATAGACGCACGCACACGAAATGACTGCAAATGTACGTGCAACGCCCGTGCGTTAGTCACACCTCACACACCATTTTAATTTATCAATGGTCTGTTTATTCTTTGATATTCTTCTTATTGTGTCCACAGTAACCTTCGACGTTTGCAGATATGACCGTAAGGACAGGCCCTAGAAAGTACCCGCTCTGGTCTATCCTTGTAACCTTGTGGTGGTGGGAGTTACCCAGGGTCACGACGATGAAGCTTCTACCGTGTTGTGATATTGATTGTATCCATAATAAAATTTGCCATCGAATTGAATGATATACAGATTTGGTGTCCTTTCAATGTGATACATTTTAGTAAACGTTGGACAATAAAAATTAGCTTACCGCTTATGTATGGGGGCCAGGCAAGTGCAGTCAAAAAACAATCCGAAGTGTCATTTCTAACCTAATAAACAAATAATAATAATATGCGATATTATTATTAAGAAATTGTTACCTCAAATATTAGCCTACATGCTACTGAATATTCATTACCTCCTCAAGGCGGTTATATTTTCATCGGATTTTCTTTGTGTGTTAGTGGGTGTGTTTTTGTCTGTTTGTTAACAGTCTCCAGTCTCTAGAACCCTGGTGGAGTTTCTGTTTTCAGCAAAAGATGGGTGAGAATTTTAAACAGGGGAGAATTATGATGTGGGCGGAGGTATTCACTCTCGGAGTGTGCTCTAATTATTAACATAATTATGCATGTTATTCTTAATATTATCATTATTATTATTATTATTATTATTATTATTATTATTATTATTATTATTATTATTATTATTATTATTATTATCATTATTAATTTCCATTGTTATCATCCACATCATAACCATTATTATATCAGCGATATTGCCATAGGTCATGACTTTAATTACAATTGTGTTTAATTAGTAATGTTGTTTAATTACCCGCTCTCCATCTTGCCAAGGAAAAGCAAACTCTAAGCCAATGACTATCGCCACCATTACCATGCCGCATAAAGTTGTCAGCACAGAAAATGGTAACGGTACATAATCATCCAACCTATAAAAGAATAACAAATTGTTAAATATTGACACGCAAGGTACGGTGGGTTATATGGGCATTGTACAACTTTAGAGTTATATGAAAATGTCGCCTTGTTGGAGTGACCTGAGTGACTCTAGCGAGCCCCAGAATTCTGAATGCGTTTCAGCATAGAATTTAGTGTCTTTGGTGGTTCTGGTGGGTAAAGCCGACCTCATTACCTCATTAGGACTCCAAAAGTGGAGGAGTATCAATGAGTATTGCAATGATTGATATAAAATTGAAATGCATGATAAGCGACAGCTCCACTATCTTTATACAATTACAATGATAAATACATTATACCAAGTATTATATAGCTTACATAAATTTCTGCATCATTTTCTTTGGCGAGAGCAGCTTTGATAAATAAGGCTCAATAAACCCATATATAAATGCACCAAGTAGTCCAGCTACCAAGGTCACACCTGCGAATGAAGGAAACAATATGTAGGCCTATATATACATTTACAAGGGCGAGGCCTCGATAAATATGAATCTATTTGTTGTTAAAGTACAAAAAAATTACACTCACATGCAGAACCATTACCGACCCATGTTCCGACTTGAACCAACACCATTCCAGGACACTGTCGAATAAGGAAATAGACAATTTCTAACGGGTGATTTTATTTAAATTTCATTTATTATTTATAATAAGGAACCAGATAATCTACCACAGGGTCCTTTTAAGCTTTACAAACTAAGTTTCATTTTGAGACTCAGGAAATCGAGATGGTATATATTTGTGAGAACAAATTGCATTTTGACAGTGTGTGAGCCCAGTAACGTGCTGAGATTGGTAGGCAAGCGTCACCAAGCTACAGCAGTTCTACAATAACAGCAGTGAATTGCAATCGGGATAAGAAAACTTTTGACCAGACAGCTTAAATTGTGACACATTGACGTCTTGCGCCAAGCTGTTGCATTTCTAAGCATGTTTATTGAAAATGTAAGCAGCCTGATTCCCGTGCTTTGAATGCATTTGATTACATTCTTATTTAAATGCACCTGTTGATCGAATAATACAAGTGACCACACGGGAATTCCATTTCAAAGGCAATATTTTTCGTTACATAAAATATAACAATATTAAGAAAAGTTGTTTAGAACCACAGGTTTAATCTGTGCTGTTCTGGGAACTTTTGGAAAAACTTCATTGGTAAATTCTAGATTCTCCCGTCCTGTCTGGATCCACCCTTGGTTGATTAACTTACCGATCCTGACAATTGCATCCCAGCACCTAAAATAAATCCCCCGATAACTGTTGTCAGTAGACCCTTACTCTGGTATGTTGAAGCCAAAGACTGTCTGACATCTTGCAACATATTCTTTGAAGGCGGTAGAACTGACATCAGTCCCATAAGTAACAAACTCACTGCTCCAGCAGCAAGAAACATCTTAAGCATTACAAACTTAGTGAATATGAACTGACCTCGGATATTTTGAGGGTCAAACACTGAAAACAATCATAAGTAAATAGAATTAAACAATTAAACTGATTTTATGTATACATATGTATATTGAAGTAGAAAAAGTTTGTATTGTTTTTACCTCTTCCTTTCTCCAGAGCAAATCCAAAGATAATGCCACAAACCAAACTGATTAAGAGTTTCCAAAACACTTTGACATAATACCTTTTCTCTTTCGCTTTTTCTCCATTATCGGTTATGTTTCTGGGATCATTAGTTGTCTCTATCGGTTCTTCAAGTGCATTTTGTAACGTTATTTTTGTTTCCGAGATGGTAGCCACATCTACGACTGAATGAGTATGGTGTGTGTTGTGCCCAATGCTATCGGATAGTAGCTTGCTTCCCGTACAATTCATGACGTCATTTGTGGGTAGTGAAAATCTACATATCAAAGTTAATAATGATGGTGGTGATGATAATAATACTAATATTAATAATAATAAAATGATAATATATAATAATGATATTATTAATTAGTATACTGATGTTGAATATGGGAATAATGATGATAATAATGAAGATGATGAATGATGTTGATTAATGACGAAGATGATGATAATGATTGTGATATTGACGTCATTGATACACTACATGCACTACATATTTGCTTCTCTTTTTACTGGTCGAGGAAACAAGCTCATAGAGCTTATAGGGTTATCCTCTTGCTCTCATTTGTGTGTGTATTTATGTACTTTTTTTGTTTTGATATTATAATAATGAGGCCAATAAATAATAAACAAACAAACAAACAAACTACACTGTTGAATTCAATAAAGAAAGAAGAAAGAAAAAGGTGAAATATACGCATTGGTTCCCTTGCAGTACCGTACCGTACCGTGTTTATTCCATGATACAGCTAGCAATGAAGCCACAGGTACTGGTATGGGCATTATATTGCGTTTTTTCCTTAATAAAGCGCACGCCAAATCTCCTCGTTCAGGGAAAAACTCAAGGCAGTATCATAATACAGCATTAAACAGAAATCACAAGCGCCACAACTGTATTGCCAAAACAGCGAAACACAACATGTACGTATACAATAGACATAACACTCAGAAAAAAAAGAACGCACTCTTTGTTAGCGAGACACAATGTGAATAATATGCTTTGTCCTGGGATACAAATTTGAATGAGAAAATTATATCTGAAACAACTAAATTTATATGATTGTCTCAGATAACAATATAGTGATTCAGCTGATTTAAATAGCAGCCGAGTTCACTTTCATCTAATCTATCAGCAGACAGTGTCACAATTAACAATGGAGTATTGTCTACAAGCATTACAAATCAAATAGGAATACTTAATTACGTATTAAAAAAAAGTGAAAACCTGAAGAAAATCTGTAATTCAAGATGGCAATTGTGAATCTATTACACATAAATGAACAATATCCGGGGGACCAAACTAAAACCGGTAGAATAATGTTGTTATTGCAATAACGTCATTTTATAAACACCAGCAGACGACCAGAAGTCACTTACCTTCAATAATTGAATTCTTCTTCTTCTCCGTCTCAATAAAGACTGCGAGACTAAATTAATTTTTATGATATGAACGGCTTATACAAATACCCATGTTTGAATTGCCACTATTTACATACTAAACATAGGCCTATGTTAATTCTGTATGATGAAAAATCTAAAGTCCACTGAAACGTCACTTTGGAAAGGTAGTTTTTCTCTGAAGAAGATGAAAACTCTGGGGACACAAAAACCCTTTCTTTAGCAAATATATTATATATAATGAAATAACATCGTATTTGATGCTATAATAATATTATATTATGATCTTGAAATAAAGAGATCGTGGATAATTAGACAAATAAGTCTTACCTATTTTATCATAGGATTATTCCGAAATGGTAATTAATGAAGTCTCCAAGATTGTTTTACACATTTATTCAAGTTTAACTTTTGCTCTTCGATAACGCATGCGATAACCCCCTCGCTTGGCGCAATACAAATCGAGATTGATTTTCCGCCAACCAGAACTACCTGTCTTTCTCCTTACGCAAAATCTTTTGAGATAACAAATAATTTGATTTTGAGAACATAGGCCTACCCTGTGAAATAACCAAATGTTGAAAATTCACTTCCAATACAAAATACTGCAGCACAGTGCGTGTTGTGATGTTTTGAAAACGCGTTCTTAAAATATTAAGAAACAGGAAATAAAATCAGATGGAGAGGTTTAGATTGACTGTTTTCTTCGAGGACAGTCGCTACAATTCCCACAGTTTTCTCTTCTCAATTATCCAGATCACAATAAGGATAGTTGGTGAATGCTATGCTTTCATTAACAAGTGATGTTTTTAAGCCGATCAGCAAGTACGGTCACCTAAGAAGGAAATGTTGTAAAGAATTAAGTGACCGCCGTGGAAATGATGTTTGTCTGTCATCCATCACAGATCGGGTCGGAAATTATCCAAAAACAGTGCGTCACTCTGTAGACAATATATTATTTGCATTGACCTGGAATAATGGGTATATCCGATGCCGAATGAAGACTGTGTTACCCAGAAAATTAACAATTTACACCGGATGCGGCAAGACAGTGATGAAGAAATATTAAGGATCCTAAAATTAGTCATTAAATCAAAAAGCCATCATAGGTCTGAAGTTCTGTTCACGATCGAAGCCTAATGTGGCAAAAAATTGTGACTGTTAATTAATGAGCATGATATGGTATCTAATCACATCCATATATGGGAATACAATCACAAGGTTTTGTGACAAATAAAGCATGATATTCTCGACAGAACTTTTCACTATATACCCTAGACAATCCCTGAAGAACATCACCTTGACAGTATTCCTGAATTGGACTTTTCCCCCTATTTCGGAGTAAAACCAGATTTTTTTTTCTATCATATTGACCTTGCTTCTTACGCCTTTAACCAAATATTGTTACATGCTCGGACGTCGTCCATACAACAACTCCCTGGTAATAGTAATCTTGTAGGAGTAATTCTAAACTAAACATGAAGTCAGGCATAATCGTGAAAAAACAAAACAGTATTTTTATTATCAGTCCCACAAAGTCTGTTCAACATAGTTTGGCAGACAATCGGTATTTTCTGTGTGATTCACCTATCCTGTATCCACCAAATACCAGGGTTTTGAAGCCTTAAAACATATCACCTGTAAAATCTCGGGCGTACTCATAATAAAAACAAGTCTCTGATAAAAATTTTATTTTTAATTTGCTATGTCATATTTCGCTGAACTAAGACTACTAATCTTTTGGCTTTTGTCGATTGGTTGGTAATGGATTCAATTCTAGATCTGGGTGGGGGTCATTACTTCACATTGGCCCAATGTTTTGTTTTGGCTTTCACTTTATTGAAAAAATATTCATCGAATGGTTATTAATTTTAGTTTCTTTAAATAGATTTTTAAAATTTTTTTCTCACGGGCCAGAATAATTTGTTTTGCGGGCCGACTTTTAAGAACCAGGGCTATATACCTTCAGTAGTTCCAGTCTGATTAAACCTCTGGGACTTTGGTTTGTTACACCAGTGTCACTAGGTCTATATACATCGGCAGTCCCAGAATATCTACACTTCTGGGACTTTGGTTTGTTGTATCGGTGTCACTATACCATTTGCAGTCTTAGAATGACTGAGATTTTGGTTGATTCACTGTCACAATATACCATGCCATCGGCAGTCCCTGAATGATTACACCTCTTGAGATTTTGATTTTTTGCATCACTATCACTCTATACCCTCAGCAGTTTCAGAATGACTACACCTCCGAGACGTTTGCATCGGAAACTTCACCTCTTATCAAAATACACGGACAACCCATTATAAAGAATATACGTTTAAACAAAGTCGTTAGCATTTAGATTTCTTTATTTTTCACTTATATAATTTATATATTGAATACAGCCGATGTGTATCTGTGAGAATTTGGCCGTCCGTATCCAATATACACCTGGGTACATGTGTATGTCTAAGCCAACGCCTGATAACGTAAGGCTACAGTACTATATATACATATATAAGTGTATGTACATTGCAGTAATAGACTTTTATAATATCATCTTAAAAGAATAGACTGATAATTACAATACACACATATGCAAAGACTTAAATCACAGTTATAGCTATGCAATTATATATAAATACATTCTTATGTACAATCACTATAAAATACAGTATATCCATTAAAGCACCCACTAAGCAGATTAACATGGAAAGAACTCTATTAAAGATAGTGACAGTGGTGGTGGTGGTGATGATGATTAATGATGGCAAGAATACGATGGTGTGATGATGATAGTGGTGGTGATGATGAGAGCAGTGGTGGTGGTAATGATAATGGTATTGATGATGATAATGTTTATGTTAATGATTATTATGGTGGTGATAAATGAGATGATGATGATAATGATTTATTTTGGCACAGCAATGCTGATGATGGTCTTGGTGATGATGAAGACATTAACATAAATAATAATAACAATAATAATAATAATAATACAGTAATAATAATAATAATAATAAAAACCAAAATATTATTAATCAAACGTATGTCCATATACATAATCTTAAATTTCCTACAGAATATCAAATAAAATTGAAAAGTGCCTCACTTTATCTTACGTAATTCTAAAATGCATAATCAAAGCTTAGCATCAATACTTGTGTCTTTGCTACAAAATATTCCTGATAATTTCATTTAGTATATGATATGTCCTCTACTAAACCCTAGTCCAAGAACAGATTGTGTGTAGGTCATATGAAGACATATAGTGTTCTAGATATAAATGGCAAACTTTCCTTTGATCGTTAGGCTGTGAACACTTAACAAAATAAGATTGGTCTGTTTAGAAATAACTGAATGAATATGAATACAATGACCAGGGTGCTAATACGTGCTGAGTATCATGATTATCATTTACCATAAAAGGCAATTAAGAATAATTCCCACAGAACATGTTATCTGTAATATAATTCAATAATAATATACGACAGCTAATTATTATTATTATTTAATCCAAACAATAATTAAACACTTATACATAAACAATTTTTTAATGAATACGTACATCAACAGTAAGCTAAAATATATGAATACATTCATATAATGTATGCATTGATTTTGGACTACTAAGTAGGAGAAATGGTACAATCTATAGATCAACATGAAAGTTCCTGCAGCAGAAAGACGCTGATGATGTCCGACTTACTTGAAAATTGTAATTCAATCATAGGTTATGTTGGACATGTTTGTATTTCATTGCCTATAATCTATTTACCATGTATCTAAAATATATGAAACTATACTTAAATTAGCATCAAATTTAAATTAATTTAATTTAAATATAATTAAAATTAATTTACATAAAATAATTCATTCACTATATATTCTAACTTTTCATAAAAAATCTTTATATTTTGTAGAGGTTTCAGCTGGTATCAACAAAGAGCATTGTCTTTGCCGCTAGTATAGACAGGGATATCTGTCTTTTCCTCGATGTTTGTCCCATATATGGTTGCCTTGGCAATATCCTCAACTTTGACATCTGGTCCGCTCTCCTTCGTGCATCCCCGAATTGAAAGATGTGTAATCCCTCCCTATATTTGCAAGAAATTATAATAGTTTGTTGATTATTCCCATTTAGAAAATCATTCACTATAAAACATTAAGTTTCTCTGGTTACTGTTAAGCCAATTGAAAATTTCCAACATACCCCTGCTCCCTTGTCCCAAGCAGATCCTCCAGGTCTAGAAGGGGTGATCCCTTCCCGCCGGCAAATCACTCCACGTCCGCCCTCTACGTAATCAGCTAATATCCACACCTAAAGTGAAATCAACAGAATCAAAAAAATTAAAATTTATCCACATAACAGATAAATCAACTGCACAATATTGAATTAAGCATCTTGAATTTGCATACCTGGTCTTTTGGTCCAACAGAAACTTTCCTGATTTTTTGACAAACATGAATCCATTTTGTTCCCTCTGGAAATGTTGGTGTAACGTCTTGTCTGTACCAGAGATTCACTAGATTGAACAACAACATAAGAATAAGCATTGCCTTTCAAATAATTATCATCCATCATCATCAATACTACCATTAATCTTCATATCATTTCTTCATTTCTACTCTACACTTTCAATTAGGCTTAAAGTTTAATGTGTCAAAAAACTTCAATGAAACACGTAACAACGGATTACATCTTTATTTTTAAACAATAAAAGTAAAGAAATTAATCTACCATAAATGCTCGAATAAGCATTGCGGTGCTTATAAAAGTTTTGGAGGCTTCAGTGCAGCAGTGGCGGTGACAACTGGAGAGGGGGCTTAAGCCCCCTATCGGTCTGGTCAAGGCCCCCCGATCGGCCAAAGCCTGTCAGGCAGACGGACCAAAAAAATAAATAAATAAAAATAAGCGTAGTTTTCCCATCCCAGCCATATCTGGCCATCTAGAATCCCAGTTTTTTTAAAAATCTCGTTTTGGGAGGAGGTGACACCCCTTCCATACCTACCCCAGTGGCTCTTTCGATGCCTGTTCCCATGTTACCTACCTCAGGTATTCACATAGTTCAGTAGGCCTATCATAGGTTCTATGTCATCGTAAAAATACGTTTAAAAAAATGCTTGTGTCTTCATTGTGTTATTTATTCATTTTAACGCTGCATACTTTGCATTTAAAACCCCATTTCTCAAAGTGTTTCATGGTGCGGCGCTTATTCTAGAGCAGTGCTTATTCGAGAATTTACAGTACATGTTCTAACAGCAAAGGATAGAACAAAAGATGTCTGTTACAAATGTAATTAATATGATTACTAAGTATTGAATAAATTCATTGGATCCAAACGATAAGTGATAATATGTTTACTTCTAAATTGTAATTATGCTTTTTTATGATCTTATTTTGTATCCAAATATATTTTCATTACTGTATGATGAGACAAAGGAAAGCAGCAATAGCATTGAACACATGGTCTTCTATACAATCTATCACAAGATTTTCCAACTGAGCCATACTGCTGCCTACATCATACTATCATTTATCATCAGTATTAGCAAACATTGATTCATTTTAAGCACTCAAAATAACCACTTTGGTAACCCAATATCACAACCAATAGACAGATTAATAAACTTACTCTGACTATCAATAGCAAACACTGCAGTTACACCAGCTGAGATATGCTTCAACCCTGTTATCGACGGAGCAGGTACGTGGAACCACATGGTGCCAACCGGGTTAGACTGCGTCACTCCATTGCGGTAGAAGGCAGAGCCATCACGACCTAGGCCCCAGATCTGGTATCTGCATCCAACTGTGATGGCCTGGAATGGCTGGTCTGTGGGGATGTGTTGCCACGAGACTCCCTAGATGGAAGAAATGGTGAATAGCATGGTAATCATGAAAAAAGAGTTGATGGAAAGTGGAGGTAAGAACAATCATGTAGATTTTGTCTGACCAGATCTTAATTGATGTATGAAGCTAGTCACACTGCTCAGGATAAATCACATTGGCATTCCATTCTGTATTATGTGAAACATCATCAACCATGATGAATCACCACCGTAAGCAGTTGCAGCATAAGGAGCCAGTGGTGGTGCCAGCTGGGGGACCCAGGGGGTACAAGACCCCCCTTCCTAGAGATTTATTTCTAATTAAACTTTTAAAAATATTTATTCACCCTTAAATCAATAAATATATATTTGACCACTACAATGATACCACCAACATAGTTAAACACTATCACCCTCACCACCACCCTCACCACCACCACCATCACCACTACCACAAGGTTATCCTACCTTTGGACACTGTTTAGTAACCCCCAGTCGAGTTATTACATCCCCATTTGTTGCCACTGCCCAGAGTGCAATAGAACTGTGCCAGTCCTCTTGAATGTCCGTTTGTAATGAGATATCAAGCAGAGACATGTGTCCAGCTTCTTGCCAAGGGCCAGTGGTCACTAGCTGGCATTTCCTAGTGTGCAACATTAGTACTATTCATTAATAATATTAATAACATATAATATTCTTATTTCTATTGGCAAGGTTATAACAACTGCTTAGCATCACAAGACAACTTACCTAACCCATCGTCTCCGTCGCACAACATCTCTCCAGTTCTTTTCCTTGTGGAACCCCCTGAAAAATGGAATTGGTATATGCAATATAATGTAAATTAGTATTTAAACAGTTGTGTATCTAGGGGGTGCGCATGGGACCCAAAAAATACTTGCGTCCTCCCCAGTGGTCCCCCAAAAATCACACTAAAGTAGTTAATAATCACCCTATTTTGCAAGCTAACGTCCCTCACCTAATCATCGAGCCTCCCCATGTAACCTTCGCGCACCTATCAGCACCCCTATTTCAAGACTCCAAGATACGCAGCTGTATTTAGATACAGAACATGATTATGAACATTGTATTTGAATATGTAAATAAAAATGAATATTGTAAAAAACGTTTAAATACTGTACAATAGGATAGGTAGATGACGTGTTAGTGAATTTACATCATGCATTTTTCAGACATCTGCTGGCTGTCACACTCTAATACACTACTTGTAGATGTTAGTGTACAAGTCTGTGAATGTACAAGAGTTGATAATTCCACTGAGCTAGATAGTAAGTCATACTGATGGTGGCAGCAGAGATTCCCCATTAAGGGGTTCAAGCAACAACTCCTTCCACTAACACATTCATGGGCATGACAGAACAGGTCAGTATACTAGAATATAGCCTCTTTAGTTCTTATGAATAATGCAGGCAGTTGTTTTGTTTCAGTGCACAGAGCCTCTGCAAACATGGCACCAATGGCTTAATGGTCAATTCAGAGGATATAACATGTTTTACACAAGGCTTCAAAGTCTTAATTCATTCCGCTACACCATTATTACCTTTGGCAGAAGTACTCCCGATCAAATGTCAAAGGTTCCATCAGGAAGTACAGTGTATTCCCTGTGTGACTCCGCTAAAATAAGCTCTAATTCAGCAGTACCAGTTATTTCATACTTGACTAATTACTGAGTAAATACTAACTTTGAGGACAACCTACAACTCACTTTGAGTATGATCTAGAACTTGGTTTTGGTCTCCTCTTCTTCGGCGTGATGCTGAGAGCGGCTGAGTACAACGGGATACCAAATGACATAAAAGAAACATCCCTCTCGCTATCCAAGAAGCAACAAAGAGTTGATAATAATCAACCAGCACAAGATGGATGCCAAATATTGTATGTGCATGTAAGTGAGGCATCCACTAAACTATGTGACACATACACTACATGAATTTGAACCAATTTTCTCACCCATTTATATTGTAATGACTATTATTCTATTATTTAATAATAATATTAATAATACCCAAATATTTATATAGCGCCAATTCAAAATTGAATGATGAAAGGCGCTGAGCGTTATTACCCCTGGTAACCGGATAACATACAATGGCAAACCAACACAAAGAGCCTACCTTCTCTGTTACCTGGGCAGTATACCTAGTCGTACGCTACTTGTTCAGAGCACGATACTAGTAAATTCAATGCTACAACATCCTACCAGGTACACATTTATACTCCAGGATAGAAGGATAGAGAGAGACAAACGTAGACAAAGTGGCTTGCCTAAGGTCACAAGTGACTTCCACAGTGAGTGTTTCAAAACTCTGACCTCAAGGTTGAGAGTCCAAGCCACAACCATATTATGTCATTGTCTATAAACACAGTATAATATCTGTCTCTTATACACATCTAGATGTGTATAAGAGACAGCGATCAGGCAATGCGTTGTTGAAATTCCTTTTTGGTTACCATACTGTCTTTTATCAATAGCCGGTTACACGCTAAATTCTATGACACCCCTTGTACAAACAAAAGCTACAATAGGCTTAGGTCCATCATCCATAGTTAACTGATTTGATTAATTGCTTTATTATACCATGACCTAAAACTTACTGGATGGAACACCAACTAACAATCATGGAACACTTAAACCAGAATTAGTGGAACTATCTAATCATTATGTGTGCCACTACATGCCTATATGTGCCTCTGTGATTTAACAAAATATGGGCTTCAGATGGGTGCAACATGTTGATGAAAAAGTAATACAGTACATAATAAATGAGCTAAAATGATAGAACTAAAATGGAAAAATATATATATACACCGTAGGCCACTCTTACATAGCTCGGGAAGGCGGGGCAGGGGGGTGCAATTAAACATTTTTAACATGGCTTCCTTTGTCAAAACCCTGCATTTACAAACATGCTTAGTACAATTCCATCCATCAAGTAGCTACTAAGTAGACTTACTGATTCATATTAGTAAAATACGTAAGAGAAAATGATATCCAACATCAGTTAAACACAAGTTAAGAATTGTTATGAATTGATCACAGCCCCAACACTATGGCATTATGGCTATAGTGCAATTTTATGTACAGTCCTTGGGATTATAGGATTTGAACTCTGGACTTTCAGATTGGAGGACAGGCACCTAAGCCATCATGTAGTATCTCCACTCTTTCATTCCAATAAGCATCAGCACATTACCTTTTAAAGTCCCTGCTGTACTGCCAGCCTTCTGGGTCAGTTCCCCCGGAGATATTGAAATCAACTGTCCAATCAGTAATCTGAATAAAAAGGAGGATATGAAAAGCATAAACAACTAATAGTCACTAAGCTGAGGGGAAACAGATAAACACTTGAACAAAAAATGCTTGTTCTCTAACTTGAGCCCAATGTTCTGGTTGGAGATCTTAATCACTACACTACTTATTTTTTCAACTAATAAATGCCCCCCTAAATGACTGTAAACAAATCTAATTGAAGCAACATCATTTTCAATACATACTATTAATTTTCTACTCCAGTAGAATTACATATTTTCTAATCTGGAGCGTTTATTTGAATAAACATGGTATAAGTGTTTTGTTGAATTATTTACCCAGTTCCAGTGTTGAGATGGTGGGTTGACTTTTTCCATCGAGCAGTCTTGTCTTCCTGATTCATTGCTCCAGGTGTAACGATCCGTTGGGAAGCCCCTAGGAAGAAGTTTACCAGAATATAACAGTATTAAAACTTTTATTATCATTATCATTACTAAAGGCACAACAGTTGCAAGTATTTTGAATAGACTTCAATCAATTTTTTTATGTTTAAACTACCTGTAGCTGAAGCCTTCAATTGGGTTCCAGCGTTGGTTCTCGTAGATGTAGATATTCTTTGTGTCTGTTTGTGTATTGATACCAACAGTACTACTGTCAATACCTAAAAAAACCAAGTCACTATTGATCAGATAGTGTATGTATACATTTATATGATGCATATAATGACATTCTTTCTGTATTCACACTATTTTCTAGCTACCTAGAGTGTTTTTATGTTAATGATACAACATACTAGATACAATATTCCTCAATTGTTAAAATGTTAGTACATTTTGAGATGAACATCAAATAAATAGCATATAAGTAATAAAAATCAAACACTATATAGCACACACGATCAGTATAAAATAGAAAATATTATCCTTTAAAATTTAATTCAAAAAGTTAAAAACATTGAATGAACTGTATTATAATAAAATAGAGTTGAATTAAGATTCAACAATATTTACCTTTGAATATTCCCCCACCATATCCCCCTGTGTACACCCAAGGGGTATGGTCCATGCCAATCCCCCAGACAATACCGGCAGCACACGTCTCAACAATTGACATGTGGCCACCGATTTGACGCCAAAACCTACAAGAACAATAAAATGGTACATAGAGTTTAGACAAGTAGAGGGAGGGTAGATAAACTGAGGTCTCATGTAGATGGACATATAATGGAGATATACTACAGACTTACATCCTACTGGATGGGGCAACGTCAATGTCTGAAAGAGTCTCATGAACGAAAACATCCCCACGACACGACACAAACCAAGCGGCTCTAGGAGGGGGCGCACCATGTATGCCACGAACCTCACAGCATGCAAGACTCGTTGCTGCAATCTAGAATAAAAGAAATAAAAGGGAAAATAGTATTAGTGCAACTGTAGCTCTAAGTAAATAAATTTGCATTTTAATACTTTAAAGATTCTACTGACCCATTCTTTGACCTCTTTATGGGAATTGCCTCTGATTTTGATAGGCTTCCGATCCAGCACCCTCTTGCCGGTGTAAATTCCAAATGCTGGTCTGTCTGCATTATTAACCTCTAGTACACATGTGATCTCACTCAAGAGGTATTGAATATGCTAAAATCAAAAGAAATAAGGAGCAGATTAATTTGGTGAAATCTTCTAAATTTATGAAATCAGATGAAAACTATAATGAGGCTTTAGGACAATCTAAATTTCCACAAAATCAGCTTCATATTGTTTTAATGTCATATTTAGTAGCAACTGGCAAAAAAATGTCATTGTTCATTAAAAAGGTAGAGGTTGGAGAATACCCTTAATTCGCAGCGACATTAAGTTGAACTGAGTATGGACTTAGTCCGTGACTACGAAGCCGCCATAAAGCAGCACTTGGGGTAACTCCCTACTCTTCCGAGATATGCAATGGGTTCTTTGTATTTACTGGACCTCCATTTTAAGTCCTTATCCCATAAGACTTGGTTCCACCAACCGCAACCTGGGTGTAGAGAGGCCAAAACCAGCGCCGATATTATGGCTGCAGTTAGTGGCACCCTTGCTTTACCTCTCAAAATCAGCCTGCTCGGCCCCTCTATTTCAAATTCTGGATCCGGCACTGCACTCTTTTAAAATTGTATCATAATGTAAGGGTTCCACAAGTTTTCTAAACAGTAGCACTACACTGACAATTACAGTATGTTTAAGGTAGGCTCTTGTTAGTTCCACAAGTTTTCTAAACAGTAGCACTTCACTAATAATTACTGCATGTTAAGGTAGGCTCTTGTTAGTTCCACAAGTTTTCTAAACAGTAGCACTACACTAACAATTACAGTATGCTTAAGGTAGGCTCTTGTTACTTACTTTGGGCTTGCCATACATTGTGTAGTGGCAGGTAAACTTGCTGTGTTTGATTCCCTTCCCATCAAGCTCCTTCTCAAGCTCAGTGGTGCAGTCCACCCACTGACGTCGACGTCCCTCTGTTAAATATTGCATACGTCCTACCTTCACCCACGAACTCTGGAGAAGAATATTAACCTTAATGAACAAAGAATTTTATCTAGTACATGAGAAATTGGCATACCCATATAGTACCAATATTATAAAGGCTGTTTTCTTATTACCCCTTTTTCATTCTGCAAAGTGAAAACAGAATCAGACTTATCAAACTCCAGCTACCATGATAACAATGAATTTAGTACCAACACTGACAATACCAACACAACCACCACCAACAACATACTACAAAGAACAGGAACACTCTAGTAGATGCTAATAATTGGTGAATTCTATTCTTGATACTAATTAAGCAGTGGAAAACCATTAAACACATTGTTCATTCATGTATATTTAAGATATTTTGAGGATTATCTTTATTAATATTGATATATTTATCATTATTATTAGTACGATTTCAAATTTGTAAAAAAAAACCAAAACACAGAAACAAAGATATGACATTATGTGCCTACCCTTTCTACAGCTCTTTCATAATGCTCAAATTTGGCAGTTTCTCTGATACGTCTTTCCTGCAAACGCCTAAGTACTAACCATCTCCAAGAACCTTCTTCTATTCGGTTGTAGGCCACACTGTTTGGGTGACCTGTAACACAATAAAAAGAAAAAAAAGAAGTAAAAGTTTCATATTTAGGAAGGGGATTCTGATTTGTGATAAGATAGGTAAAGTAGAAACGGATTAGCACAGCGGGAACGGTTTGGTTTCACAACCTCGAGGTCGGGGTTCAATCCCTCGCTGTGCATTTCGCTTGTGTCCTTGAGCAAGACACTTTATCTGCATTGCTTCTCTCCACCCAGGAGTATAAATGGGAATCTGGTGGGGTTACATGCTCCTGCGCTGATTACCAGCAGCAACACTTAGCATGTGGACCCAATGACCAGGGAAAGGAACTGCGCTTTATAACCGCAAAGAAGAGGCGCATTATAAATGCCCGTACCAGTACCAGTACAAGTTACTGTAGATTTAAGGCCAAAGACCAAGGAAAAGGAGATGCCCACATGACAGCTCAGATCAATGATTTTTACTCTAGCTTCATCTTGGAATCGGTAGGTAAATAAACAGAGATGTAGGCAGATTTTAGGAGAGGGTGGAAGGTATTTTTCATAAGAGCGGGTACACTTTATACAAAGGATGATATGATTTTGGCAGTATACTTAAAATTTCAACAACTCACTTGTTAGAAACCAAGTCATTGGTGCAGTAGTATCTACAATACATCCTCCACCACTGATTACCACCCACTTCAGTTCTGTCGGTACATCCACTGAGGGCGCACTTTCCATAACGCTTTCCTGGCTGTGAATCCGACTCATCGAACTGTGTCTTTCAATATCAATCCCGCTATCTTGCGTCTCATCTTTATTGCACGTCTCTTCCACCTTCGTAAGCTTCTCGTACGAATGCATGACATCAATGGCACTATCTCCTTTAGCATCAATAGCTGCTGAGCTACCTATGTTCCCATTTGGGGTTGCTTCCTCCCTTTGACATATATTTCTGACAGTCTTCTGACATGTGTTTTCACAATAATTGTCCCCTGCTTCTTTACATTGTATTTCAGTTGCCTCAATATTGCACGTAATTTCACCAAATTTTTCCTGATCACTGACTCCTTCCGCTTCCGGTACATTCCTTTCTGTATTTAAGTCTCCATCATGAGCATCACTTTGTTCAGCACATTCTTTCTCAGTTCCCTCAAGAACCTCATCATCAGAAAAGTCATTTACGAAGTCGATGATCTCATCAGGAGCATCTGAGTGCCAGCTCATTGTCCGTTCACAGTGTTTAGCAGGAGTGTTTTTTACCTCTTTCACATCAGTGTTCAAAATTGCACGATCTGCTAAGGAAGGCGTTACATTGGGAAGACTTATGGATGACATATTAATTTGATTATTTTCGTTTCTAATGCCGTTAACTGAAAGATTTTTTATGTGAACTGGCATTTCTCGTGGGCCTGTGTCTTCCGTATAATTAAGCTGACGTAAACCATCCTCCAAATCCTGTAGTAATTTAATGCCCATTGTTCCTGAACAGTTTGAATTGACTGTATTCAATTTTGCGTCTTGAAAACCAGTCGTCAGTGAGGAATCGCAGACAGACAGCGACCTGGAATTATCGTAATCATCTACAGCACCAAAATTCTTTGCATCCGATGATGAGTTAGATATCCGTCGACTAAGTCCACTTTCTTCGCTAATGCCAACAGATGATGACTCAGCGAGACTTGATGAGTCATACAGTCCACATTCCTGTAGCTCAATACCACGCCACTCGCGTCCACTAGGTTCACTTGTGGTTACTCCTACTCTAAAGTGTACTAGCCGATTTTCTAAGCCTATTGCCCATACCTAAAAGAAATCAACAAGTCAGAATCAACAAGTGAAACAAGATAAAAAATAATAAAGAAAAAAAATAAATTTTAAATTGTTCATTTCAACACTTCTTCAACTACCGAAAATGAATAGTGTTGAAGAGACAGAAATTGACAATTTTGTCAAGCCAAGGTCCCCCTTGGGAGAAAAATGTCTGAACAAAAAGAGAAAAATTTTAATTCTGAAAAATTCTTTAGCTAAAATATCTCAGAACTTCTTAAAATGCCAAAAAATTGACCTGTATTTTTAGGTGCCAGGGAGTTAACAACCTGGACCTCCACAAAGGCTTCACCCCAGACCCTACTGGACTGTCAAAAATTGACAAACCCTTATCAAAGAGCTTAGCCCTCCAAATGTATATTGTAGGGCTACAGCTGTTCAGTTAAAGTAGAATGAGTTGATTTGCAGCTTTAATCCTGAAGACAAATGATAACAACCAACCTGATCATTTGGTCCTACAGATATCGATGACATTTGACCTATCATCAGCACCCAAGATTCTCCTGTGGCATATTTCTTATCAAGCAAGGCTTTCTTAGCATCAAATTCAGTACGGAACCAAACCTAAAAAAAAAAGTTCTCTTAAATATTAGAAAATACAAGTATTAAATATAACATGCTGCTTTGATATTTGCCTAAGATTTATATATTGAACTGAAATTTTTTTGAAAATCTTACATTTTTTTGGTTTTTTGGTTTTTTGTCTTAATGTTTATTCTGATCAATTTGTTGATAAGTTTCAATATGCCAAATGAATAAAAACAATAGCAGTGATAATAATAATAAAGATTTTTAATATGCACATTTCCACAAAATTGTGTGTCAAAGCAGTGTTTTAAAAATCTCTTTATTTTCAAATCACTTCTCTTTATCAATTCTAAATGCTTTTTTAACATCAAATCTTTTATTTTCCTCGCTTTTGTCTTCAGCTTATCTTTTCTTTTCCTATCTTTCACCTTACCTTTTTTGCTTTTACATTTCTTTTTATGTTGTCATTGTATCTTTTATTTCTTTTTCAAGAACAACAAAATCAACATGATTATATTATTGGAACCAAAAAAATTACCTTGTAATTTGTTGAAATCGCCCATAATGCATTTGACCCGACTGTAACCTGACAAATCCTTATATCAGGTGGTGGTTGTACATATTCCCAACTTGTTCCTGAATAAAAAAAAAAGAAAATCAAATTTATTTTCACTTCTTTACAGCATTTCTCTCACAAAGACAGAACAATAACAATAATTTTAAATAACTGAATGAGATATGTACCATATATCTTTAAAAACAAATTACATTACAACAAACATTACATAGACAAAATAAGATGACAAACTGACCAAAAGGATGATCCCTCGACACTCCAATACGGACGACAGACACGCCATCCCACGTAACCCCCCAGACAATCCCAGTTGGTCCGGCAGAGATCTGGACCATGCCCTTCCCATCCTTTATCGGGATCTCGACCCACTTCACGCCTTCTGGACATTTTTTATTGACGCCATGACGACAAAATACCTGAAAACAAGTAATGTTTTAGATTGAATACATTTTAATGTTGTCAGTACATTCAAATGCATATTTAATTTAATTGTAATCAAAGACATAGTTATTTATAGGGTAAATCTAAACATCCATTAAAACAAATTTAAAGACAGTTAACCAGAAATAGGTGGTTATGTAAGCATGTCCTATTTGCAATATTTACTGCACGTCACAAATGGAAAACAAAAACATTTTTCATGTAAAATAAGATCGCCTTAAAAATTATTCGACTTAAACTATTTTATATTGTAGAATAGACTGTTGTTACATAAAACAGGTTATAAATGTGGCATAAATTTTATTATACCAGTATATTTGAACATACACAAATTATGAAATGTAATGATATGGGCTAATAAGTAATGAAGATATTGGTAAATAACCTGTTGCTTATAAATGAATTAAGGTTTTTAAGATGTTTCCCAACCACAAATATGCAGTTAAAATTAAATTAAATTCTTTAAGTTCATAACATTTAGCTTAACATAGACAATATATCCTTAAATATCCCGAGTATCAAATCTGTCGTATGCCCATATTTAGTCATGATGTACCTATATATGGTGATGATGTGATGTCATCATGACCATATTTAGGCATGTCACATGTTTTTTTTCAAATCAAATGTAATAGCCTGGACAGAGCTTAGACGAGACTTTTTTCATACCTTGTTTAGCTAACATGCCGCCCTTCAATAATGATGATTTCAAATAAAAATAAAATTTTATTTTTGGCCAATTAGAGCACCTGCTGCCATAAAAAATGGAAATGTCAGAAAAAAATAAAAATCTTTTCTTTATTACGCCCGCTGCTGCCTTAAAACCTCCAGAAATATGATATGTGTATTTCATTCTAATTATATAAATTTAAAGCATTTAACCATCTCATTACTACACTTTTTACATTCACCAATAAAATTGTATTTTTAATTTCTCTTCCATCTGGATGTTTTTAGCAAAACTATTTGCTAAATAAAAAAACAAACTTTTTTTATTTTATTTCGCCCTTCTCTGACAATCTTAAAAAATAATAAGTTTACGAAACAAGGTATAAAAAAAGCCTCGCCTTAACACTAAATAACTTCTTTTGTAAGAAAATCTCTGAGAGACTATTCATTTAAATATAAAAAGAAATTCAAATATTGAGTTTTTTTTATATTTTTTTTTCTCAAAATAGACAACTCCATCCCTTTATTACCTTTCCTAGAGCTGTTATAGTCCACACTGTCAGAAATCCTTCAGGTTGACCTGGCAACTCATAGCCTCCAACTGCCAGATCCATAAATGGTTCTTCTACAGGGTCTGCATGGAGGCTAGGTACCTGCAAATGTGTAATTAAATAATATAACAATATATCAGTTGTATTACTAATTTAAATAACAGCATAGTAAATCAGTAATAATCAGTATTCAAAGTGTGCTTGATAAATTTATTTACCACAAAAAGTGCAACATAAAAACAAAAATACATAAATAAATACAATGTTTTACATTTTGAAAATTTCCATTGCCTTTGTAACAATATGAGACATTAATTGTTGTAGAACAGTTCAAAACAAAACTCATTAAACATTATGATAAGTATTTCTAATTTGCTCAAAAATTCTTCAGTAAATTTACAAATAAAATGTTATGAAGAGAAATTTGACAAAGATTAGGGTTCAGTCTGGACCTTATAAATACCTTATTAATAAGTGCATGGTTTAGACTGCCATGTTGTTTATTTATTACTGTATTAAACAAATACTGTGCAACGTTTCATATTTGGGAAATTTCCACCATGGCATTGCCTTTCCAACAATATGAGACAACAATTGTTGTGGAATTAAGAATTCCAAGCAAGACCTCTTTAAACATTACAATAAGTATTTCTAATTTGAGCTGTAACTTCTTCCTCATTAAATTTACAAACAAATAAAATCCATTGTTCATTATCACTATCACTCAAATACAGATATTTAACAAAAAAAAAATTTAAGGAAAACAGTGGCAGGCATAAAATTGGTCATCATTCAGGAACCCCATACATCACAATAGTACAACCTCAAGTACAAAAACCAAATAAACACAAAAATGAAAATGCAGAAGATAGTTCACTTAGGCAAACAAGTAAGTCTTGAGTGCATGTTTAAAATGATAATGATCTGAAATATCCCTAAGGTCAGTTGGAAGATTATTTGAAACAGAAGAGGAATTTGACAAGTAGTAGATTAAGTTTTAGACTGCCATGCTGTTTGTTTATTATCACTATCACTCAAATACAGATATTTAAAAAAAAATAATGATTGATGCTTTATAAGCAACAGAAATTGCTTATATTCTCATCAAGTTTAATGATTTGAATATCATTGTTTTGAATTAAATGGAAGCCACAGCCAATGCCATGCTTTGTATTTTTGGTGGTACTGTATGCATTGATTAATGGTACATTGGTTGCCAGGTTAACTGATAATATTACACCCAATTATTAACCTACTTTCCTTTACTTATGGAATATAAATTAACCTACTTTTGCCCAAGCATCCATTGCAACATACTGACGATACCGGATCCATTTTCTCCGCCTTACACAAGAGTTCCATTTTTTATCCGAAGTGTAGCGGTCGTTTGCATTGAAGTTGACTGCATGTTGCCATCCCTTTTCAATAGAGAGATAAAGCCGGTTTTACACTTGGTGAATTTAATTGGATTTCTTCTCTTCGCAAAAAGTAGAGTAGAAACAATTCAAACTATGTTTTCGATGAAGCAAAAAACTCCGATAGAAATGTAAATGCACATGCTCATGAAACGACGCTTTGGATTCATGTGGATAATTTTGTTTACTATAGTGTAAAACTGGCTCAAAGATTAACGAATGTTGACTTGATTCTCTTGTAAATTGTTAGTGGTTAGTTTTAGGATAGTTCATAGTTAAGTTTTCATGGTTAAGTTTTCTTATTTTCATTTTCTTTGACAATATTTAATTGCGAAAACTTCAATTTCCATTTTCATTTGCAATGCATTTATCATAAATATATGATAATAATAAATAAAGAAAATAAGTAACATTAACATACAAAACAAAAAATACAATATATTACCTATTTTATGTTTTTTTTGTAAGAAGGTTGTCTATTGTTATTATTAACAAATTCATGTTTAGGGACCTACTATAAATACTGATATAAAAATCTTACACATGTATTAAATCTCATGATACTAATTAATTTAGTAGTAGTATTCTTGAAAATGATAAAATAGATCGAAACATTGAATCTCAAAATGTATCTGCCTCTTTTCGGAGTTACTGTCTTTTTGTTTTAACTAATTAACATCAACATAATTCATATTTTTTTAATTACATAGTATGGTATTCCCCAATTAAAGACTCTTCCAATTCAAGACCACCTCCAATTAAAGATTACTTTTCTGGGGGCCCCAAATTAACAATTGTCTTTTATTTTAATTACTCTAATTAGAAACCAAAACTGCTAAAGACCATGGAAGCCTCTGTCCACAAAGTGGTCCTTAATTGTAGGAAGACCTGTACTTTCATTTTTTTTAATTACTTTTTTGCGAATTGATTTACTGTATGTTTTAATGTGAGGGGGCCACATGATTGTCAGCATGCTGCTATGTTGGGTACTCTTTGGTAAATAAAGTTGAGTATTAAATACAATAACAAGATTGCAATGTCATACCCCTCTCCCAGTTGGTTGACCTCTAATGTTCTCATCAATATACCAGTCTCCTTCCCAGCTCCAATGCTCCGATGGTAGACAGAAAAGTTTCTGTTCAACTGTAGTGCGGGAGCCTGTCTCATTACTCCATGGATTGCGATCAGTCGGGAATAATGAACGAGCAGAAAAGCCATGAATCGGATTCCATCTCTAACCAAAAAAGAATTTTAATAATGTGAATGAAAAAATGTTAAAGCTCTATCCAGACTATCAAATTTTGTGTGACAAAAACATGTGACATGCCCAAATATGGTCATTATGACATCACGCCATGACCATATATAGGCATAGCATTACTATATATGGGTATGTCACATTTTTTTGTCAAAGGAAATTTGATAGTGTAGACAGAGCTTAAGTCTTGTCCACACCATAAAATTTTATGTGACATGCCTAAATATGGTCATCATGACATCACATTATGACTATATATGGGCATACAAAAGTTGTTTGTCAAACAGAACTTAAGCTGCCCACATTATCAAATTGTATGAGATAAAAAAATTGTAATATGCACATATTTAGGTATAATATGACATCATCATGTCCAAATATGAGCATATCACACAAATTTGGTCAACTTCTCCTTTCTTGAGACTAAGATAAATAACATAAATTTTCAAAAATGAAGATTGCAGGTTAAGTGATTGAAAATTGTATGTTTACAATCCTTATAAATGACTTTGAAGAAATACTGTACTGACTATTTACTAGGTTCCATGACAAACTTTTCAATAGCTAGAAAACAGAACACTAGTCCTGATTCCAATATACTCATTGAATGTGAAATAGGCTCTACAAAAAAAACTTTTCCATGCATATTTAATGCCCAAACAATTTTTGTTATTTAAAAACAAACTTTATTTCTTTCGCATCACGAATGAATCTCACCTGATTTTCGTATGTGTATTCTTGATATCTGATTGGAACATCCGTGTTGTGTACGTACACATATACATGCTGGTTACATCCTAGGCCCCACGCACACTGCCGAGCAGCCGAGACCCTTTTGAAATCAATGTTGCGTCCCTTGAAAGCATTGTTCCTCAGTTCCCAGTATTGACTGTCGGTGGACAGGGTGTAGACTTTTCCAAAACTGTCCACCCCCCAGAGATGTGATGCTACCATGATGTATTTACAGCCTACAAACAGAAGAATATTCAAAATCAAATTGTTATGTTAAGCCAGGGGAAGCTTGTGGACCCAAAAATTGTGGGTTCTTTTTCTTATATAATTCCTCTAGGCCTATACCACCACCTTACTATACCACTACCAGGGCAGGGGTCTTCTCCTAGTTAACCTTTATGACTATGGCCAATACTTGTATCAACATTAGCCCTCTAGGCCCTAAGCTGTCTAGGCTACCCCCTACTACAGTAACACAAAACTAGGGGTAGGGCCTAGGCCTAGGTTAGTCCTATAACAACTCCCTGGTTAGTCATACCTTTTATTCTTCTACTAGCCTACCTAAAACTACGTACCATGTCATTGACAAACTGCTGGTGTGGCGTAGCTTTAGCCGCCACGTAAATGCCAAAAGTAGGCCTAATTCCAACGTGAGACATAATCACTTACCTTAAAAGTATTCAATTCTCCATTGCAACTTATGCAAAATACGAGGTAATTAGTTGCTAGAACTCAGAACTGTCGTAAATAGAGAGATACCAACATTGTGAAACGTCCCCGTGAAACTCCGCGACGACTTTTCACATCATCAAAAACAAGAGTTAGCAATCAATTGCATGTGATCGAACTGTAGATAAGTGCGGTCTGGCTTGATATGATCGTGTCGTTCCATAACAGTAAATCGCCTTTTTGATTACTGCAACTGTATCCACAGAAGTTGTACTTACTGTACGTGTACCACCAGATACAACTGACCTTATTCGATAGGAAATTAGGAATTAGATTAAGTAGTGATTGAACTAGTTTGAATATTTGTGATCGAATTTAGATAAATACATTTCTTGTTTGACCAACTACAACAGGCGCTGAATTCATCTTTTTTCGATATTCTTTTTCACGCTTCTCTAAATATATATCTATAACTATATATAATAATATGATAAGTGGGATTTGTAAATAATACATAGGTCTCTATGCGCTAGAAATATGCAAATTACAGTAAACTAAATAATAATAATAAATAATATATGATTATATTTATATCTTCGCACTTCATCGATGTATTAGAGTTTCCTATGCAGCATCCTATATATATATATATATATATATATATATATAGAAAACAAATGGCATGATCGAAAATTTGAACAATATTTTGATCAAACTGATTTAATAAAATACACTGTATGTCATGAGTTAAAAAAAAAATTAAAATTCAATTCCACATTTGAATTGCTTAATTATAAACAAAAATTTATTTTTTTTCAATAAAAAAAATATTACATGAGACTTCCAAAACCAATGTAAAACTGAGTAATTAGCATAAGAATGCAGCAGTATTGTATGCTTTGTACAGAGAAGCCATATTAGTTTCATTCAAAACTTTGGCAATAGTATAGTCTATCATTTTAAAGCTTATCATGGGGAGAATATTAATATATTAAAAAGTCAATTTTCTTCTTCTTGTGACTAATGCTGTTCAATGGACATTTAATTGTCCACGATGTGTAAGTCCGGGGCTAGTACTAATTCATCCCTAAGTGATTCCGGGATTGGCAAGCGATGGAAATTTTCAATGTGTACAAAATTTCTTATAACTTGCAGACATCTTACTCTTAGGCTGAAGATTGGCAGCACTAGATTGATTTCTTGATACTCTCGTGCGTAGTAAACATCCTTTTCAATAATTCCGTCCTCCTTATACACAATCTTATCTCCACTGTTGTGATCTCTGAACGTCCAGGCGTGATCCCGATGTGTCTCAATAACCCTAAATTCCCTTTGTGCAAGTCCAGTTTTTGTGTTGTATTTTTTCCAAGTTGGCTCCCCAACAAAGTTTAGCCATATTATTCTTACACGTCTGGGGGTTCGATTGATAAACTTGACACTTGTTGGATTATTTGTTTTCTTAGATGCTATCCTTTTTGGCATTGCTATGTATGAGAATACAACTTAAATTATTGAAAAGGGTCAATTAACCTATTGCTTCACTAAAGGCAATCAATTTCAAACCAGAATCAATAGGCCTAATAAAAAATGTTGAGTTTTTAACTAACTTTGAGTAAGTCCGAATTTTTATCTCACTGGGCAATCAAAGCCAGATTAAAATAAATAGGGCCTACGTGAGTAATATATTTCCTTCCCGCAAATGCTATACTTTGCAGTACGAAAGTTAAATGCAGGCTTATTTTTGTCACATTTGGAATACAAAAGTAGAGTGAAATTTAATAGAGCATTTTAGGAGGTCATACAAGTTACAGGAGCATGTCTAAAATGACTATATTGAACAAGTTAAGAAAATACTCCTCTTCATAACTTTTACAATTTCAATTGCTTCAGTTTCGTTGTATCTGGGATCGTACTTTGTCCCCCAGCACCACGGCAGGCTAAAACTTGTGATGGATGATTGTTTAGGCAAGGCTAGCTTGTTCAGCAAATGAAAAATGAAACTTACAGTCAAGTTCAGGATTTATTACAACAAATGGTCTTACAACATATGTGTTTATATAACTACTGACCTTTTAAATGTTTATTAAAGCAGGAGTAGACAAAACAAACTTTTTAAACTGCACAACATATAGGAATACATACAGCTACGTACAGTACTATAGTCAGGGAAATCTACGATTTTGAGTGGACAAACTTGCAACAAAAGGTTTCTTTAGCTGATAAATCCAGAATTATTATTATTTGGTAGTTAAATATCTATAAAACAACATAATAAAAATCGGTCAAAATCTAACATCGGGAAATGAGTTTTTTAAGACAGAAAACAGCGAACTATATTTTATCTTTCCCTACACAGTGTGTTAAACGGTTTGGCTAATTAGCATATGAAATTCATGTCTCTGATTGGTAGAAAGTCTGGTCACCATGGCCAAGGTCAAATTACGTCATCTTGTTTAGGTTTTTGCGTTGACGTACGTGTATCCGCGGCACACGGGCAGTGTGCCTAGGCTTATATTTCATACTTTTTTAGTTTATTGTTATTGTTTATGCATTGGATTTTTTCCTGCATATATTAATAAAGATGGTCGGATCATCTGATAGCATGAAGATATGTTTCTGATGAGGAATAATTCTCTACATTCGTGACAGGCCTAGAGAGGCCTATCAACTAGGCCTAGGCCTACTACTACAAAAATGCATCATATAGCTGATCAAGGCCATACCTCTCACTCACTAGCTAGTCTAGCAAAAGCTGAGCTCAACGACCGTTACGTTTATAAATTAGTGTAGACCACAATGCAATGCATACTGTATTCTAATTCATAAAACACTTAACTGTTGTTCAAGTTATCATTTTCCTACATTCATTCCTTGGGAAGAAGTGCCAGTCACTAATCTTTCTCTAAGAAACCTTAAATAAATAAATGATTACATACACAAGATTTTTTTTTTTTTAATATACAGTAGCATTGAAAATTATTAATGGCAAAATCCATCAGCATTAATTATTCGCAATCCATCTCAGAATATAAATCTGATTTCTCTGAAACAAACAATAACTAAGGTACCATCATCATACAATAATCAAATTTTCAAATTTTTCAATATTATTTATAGTAGTCTTGGTTATGCAATACAAAATACTGCAGTATCACTAAAATGCACTTTCTGTAAGCTGAATGTTATGGATTCCTATGGATTATCAATGTCCTGCTTTTTTGTTTAAAGTAGCAAATGTCTGTGCAACTTGTATGCTCTATGCATTCCCATACATCACAATGAATTCCCATGCATCACATCTCCAAGATATGTCCTAGAAGGGAAAAAAGGGGAAAATTAGTTATAATCATTTAGAGTCAAGACATTAAAAAAAAATATCTTTACATTTTCTATCAGACATTTATTTCTTTATAGTATGCCTAATTACCGTAAAAAAAAACATAATGCTAAAAATGCATGCATCAATCACCAGGGGATTATTAAAAAAATGTAAGGGATATTTCTTATCAACATCTCGACAAGTGCACAAACAGTACTGTATGCTAGGGGTAGACAAATTTGTACTCTTTTATATATGCATGAAAATGTTGATTCAAAATAACATGATATAAAATAATAGATTTTGTATGACCATAATTCAACCATGGATAATATACATTTTCAAGCAGCCAAGTAGTGTTTTAGTTGACTTCACAAATGGAGAATGGTTTTGCAAAATCAACATTTGCTTTGTACACTTTCAGAGGGAAGGGAGGGGTACGGAAAAAGATTACAGTTTGTAGTGAAAATGGTTTTTTTTTATATTACATTACTATTTACTATTACAAAATAATTTAAAAATATTAAATTTTCTATTTCATTATTACATAAACAAATAGAACTACTGTAAATGTAAGTAACCCATGTAAAATATTTATTTAAATTTACAATACAGTACCTGACATTATTTGAAATATGTATCAGTTATCATCTCTAATGATTCATGTGCATGATACATTTTTATGATCTATTTCTGTCTTGGAGTTAAAAATCAAAAAAGAAAAGTAAAAAATGTATACAGTAGTTTGATTGGTTAATGGTTTATTCAACTATTAGATTTACTTACTATTATTTAATTTATGATAGATTTATTGCTTTTGGATATTATTTTGTTGTATATATTATTCTTTTATACAACATACAATAAAATAGATGAAGAAATGTATGTTTTATTTTTAAAACAATTATAATTACAATACTGTGCTTTTTATATAAACTACAAAAATATGAGCGATAAATATGATGAAATCATAGAATAATTGGAAGTGCTTAGCAAAAAACTAAATACAGTAAAACTTTAATTAAAACAATGGCAAAACATTAACTAATATACAAAATACAAATCAATTAATTAATTGATCTTATTTAATATAATTATATACCTCAAGTTGTTCTTGACCATGCAATAATATCATAGCGTCAAAATATTCCAGACCATTTCTTCAAAATGCAGTTTATCTGTAAAACATAATTACAATCAAAATATCAAATAGTTGAAAGACATTTAAAAAAAAATTAATAATATTACTATTAGTATTATTACTGTATTACGTTGAATATACATTGATTGGGTCATTAACCACAAAAATAATGCACTGCAGCATTGAATTAATATTAATATAAGTAGGCTTAGGCCCTAGCTGCTTGTGAAATTAAATTTGAAGTCATTGATTGAGTAACATGATGAGCATATGGATCTTATGATCAACATTTTCGACCAAGCTACTGGCAGAGCGGGAGGCATGCTGTCCGCGGGCTGGTATTTTCGGGTTAAATTGCCAATTTTTGTGTTTACATCGTCCGTTCTCCGCTACCTGATAATAATTCTGTACTTTTGATATGTTATAATACAGTTATTTACAGTAGGCAACTTGTTTTTTTATATTTGAATTTCAAAAGCTTAAAAAAGTCCCTGTCATTTTGCATTTTTCGTAAGAAACTACAATGACCGGAGCCCGTGTAAAAGGCCATTTTTATCGATTTTCGGGTTCTGTTGTCTTCAAATCGCTTTTTGTTGAGCATTCACCATAAGAAAAGCTTCTTGCACACTTGCTAAAAAGAAACATTATTATTCATAGATTCTTTTGATGTAAGTTTTATTTTGATTGGTTGAAAAAAGGGTCTGTCATTTTACCATATGAAAGGAGGGTCTGAATGATCAGTTTACCATAGACGCATTTTGCATTGAGCCAGGATAGGCGAGCACTATGGTTTAGGTGAAACCTCTAAACATTTTGTCAGAATATTGAATAATTCCTCAAAGTATTTCATTAAATATTTGTATCTTGGTGTTTAGTTATGATCATAGAAGAATTCTAGTGAAATATTTTTTCGAAATGTTGCTACATTACACCTAAATTTCATGTTTAAAATGTGTTGGTGTCACAGCATCTGTACACCGTTGACGTTGATTGAGATGGATCGTACCATTTTATAGATTTTGCTGCTGGTAAGATATTATTCCTGATGCTATAATTCTCTGTACCCTGCAGTACTGTATAATACAATATTCCAAGGATGGCTCATATGTAGCTGATAAGGGAATTATGGCCTCAGCCCGAAGGATTAAAATTGCATTTTCTGGTGGCAAAATACCCTACATATTTAAGATTGATATGATTATTAATTCTTCTTTATAGCCTAAGATTACACACAAAGTGAAGCTATCCTTCCACTTTATCCAGGGTTAGTATTTAGAAGACCCGCCCAAGCTAGGCTTACGCCTGCATTTAATCTGACTAATGGCCTATGGTAGCCTACAGTCAGTAGTAGTAGGCCCTAGGCTATGGCCTAGCCTAGGCCTAAAATAAATAAGGAGAGGCCTGGAGACCGACCGATCGATAAAACGAAGTTTGAACTTCGTATTATTTTGCCACTGCATAAATACAGTTTTACAACAAAACAATACATTAATAGAACGTTGATTACTGTTCACTACAAATCAGATAATGTACATTTACCTACAAAATTACAATAAGGCAGTCTACTAGTAGTAGCATTCAATATTCGCGGACAAATATTGTAGAGGGCGGCAAACCGATATGTTCTAATATCAGATCAATTAAAATAGAGGGCGGTAGACTGATATTTACCGATATCAGGGCTTAAATTTTGCTATTATGGTCCTTTTTGAAAGGTGTTAAACGTCTAAAATGTATTTGTAATGTCTGAAATTTAAACAAAATCATACTACAACAGTCCTGGTTAACTTATTTCAATAAATAAACTTAAAATTGAATATACACATAAAACCAAAATATGGAAAACGGTACTATGAATAAAAGTTTTTAAAATAATGTGTGACATTTGTTAAAATGTGATTGCTGCCCTCTGTAATTACAAACTTTTCGAACTTTAATGACGATATTGGAGCCATCAAAAAGAAAGTAGCTAATCCCTAGTTCTAGCCCGGGCGGCATTTGTGCCACAACAAACAGCCTAACATCTTTAATTTAAGCAAAATTATAATAGTATGACACTAAAGGCCAACTCAGACAGCGTCGGCCGACGCAGCCCGACCCGATTTATCGTCGGGGACAGTCTTAAGCCATCGTGAGAAATATTAAACATGTTTAATATTCTACGACGCAACTTCCCCCGACGCACACATCACGTCTGCGTTAAACTCACACAGACCCGACGCGACAACAAATCGCGTCGGGCTGCGTCATACGACGCTGTCTGAGTATGCCTTTACAATATTTGACTTTCATTAGCTTCATTGATAATAATCAATTAAAAACCAATTGGAAACATTTCTATTTTATATTTTTAATTTAATTTTTAAATTTAATAATAATAAAAAAGGCCTTTTAATGAAATTAAATAATAATAATAGTAGTAATAATAATAATAATAGTAATAATAATAATAGGGTCCTCAAATTATGTAACGCAAAAACCTAAATAGGCACAAGCCGAATAATATCACAAGGTATTATAGAGAACGGTTGTATTTCCAAATTCCAGTAAAGTATATCTTGTGTACTGTAATTATTTTTTTTAATTCTTTGTTTATCTTACATTTAATTTATATTTTAATTAATCCCTCATTTGCTGAAATTAATTATTTTCAGAAATTACAATTTTGTATTAAGAAAAATTAATTAAGACAAAAATTTATTTTTAGCATTGTATATATTTGACGTGGAAAAAATTAAACGAGTTTTCACACTGGCCAGGACTCGCATCCTCCGCCACCACCAGTTAAGCGGCCAGACCTATCCATTCATGCAGGGGTACGCGGACATACCCGGACATATCAGACCATATATGCTACATCACCCGGCCCCGAGCGGTCCGTTCCAACTGAACTGAGGGAGGAAGCAGAGCTGACCCTAAGCTAATGCCCTGAACCTTTGCCGAAGCCTGTCAGTTGAACACATGACCACCCGAGACTCCCTTCACTGCACAGGGCATATCCTCTCTAGTTCCGAACATTGGCATAATCTAGCAACGTACACCCATGCGGCCTAGTACCAGAAGACGCATAATCGGACCAATAACAAGAAGGACGAAGGTACTACGGTACGGATGTAAAATTTATATATATACACGTGCATTCAATATTCTGCATCGTGTTGGTGTTGTTTTTGCTTTTCTTTTCAAGGCATAGGAAAGTTTGAGTGATTTTTTTACAATGTTATAATCATGGACCTATTAATAAGTCCAATAATAGGTCCATTTTATAATACTTACAATGATTTGTATAAGAAATCCTTCATCCTGACTAGAAATAACTTAAAAATTAATTTTTTAATATTAAAAGATTTTAATATTTCAGATCATATGAATATTCATTATTACAAAACTAACGTTTAAAAGTAGTAGAGGGCGCTACCGTATGTACGTGCATCATAATGGTGGCAGCCCACACAGCAAGATATTTCTCAAAACCGGGGCGTTCAAACATGCGTTTTTCAGTCTGCTCGGCTGTTTTGATAAACAAAAGGGTTAGTGCTTTTGTAAGACAATGTTGTAAGACCACTTAGGCCTATTGTAATAAATTCTGAAATCGACAAGTGTCGTCATGGATCATCTTTCATTTACTACAAGGCAAACCTAGGCCTAGCCTAATCATACCATCATCACATCATTAATTAATGTGGTGCTGGACAATGAAACTCTGCCAAAGAAGGTTATGTAACCTATTCACCACTGCCTGTCTGTCGGGCTAGGCCTAGCTGTCAGTTAGCCAAATTATTCCAAAAGAAGGAATAGATCATGATAAAATTTAGTTGAATGGTACATATTAAAGAAAGAATTTTTTCTAAATTAATGTTGCAACATTATGTTTTATGTGCACTTTAGTGAGCTGCTAGGCCTAGGTGCATGGACATGGACATGTCTCAAGTTTACACATCAGTCTCGATATAACTAATACAGATAAACATCTGCACTGGTTCAAGCGGCACACTCTTCTATACTAGTGGTGAAACATGTCTTCTCGGATAAGCACTGTAAACTCTAGGTTCATATTGATAAATAAAAGAAAATAGCCCATACAGTTTAATGTTCATACTTTGCTATTGTATATTTTGTAATCAAGTTCATTTCAATTTACTCTCTATTTTGCTTGTATTTATCTTTATTTATTACATTATTCATGTTTGTTTTCATAAAATATTATGGTCAATTACCAATATTTTATTAACAATACTTATTGATTGTATGTAAAATAAACATTAACACTGTTTAATATTTGTCTCAATCATGCTTTTGATGATAGCTCTTTCCAACTGTTGTACTACCCCCTCTGTTATCAATCCTGGAATGCAAAAATAACTCCCTTCATGGAGTCACAAATGAATTGGTTTTTTTTTTGGTAAAAGGCAAAAAAAAAAAAAACCCCAAAAATAATTTGAAGGTGTGTAAGGTCTAGAGGATTCCTGTCTGAGTTGTTGCTGTTATTGCGTGGTTTGAGGGCTTCTTCTTGAGATATAGGCCTACTATTAATTTTCTGAAACATTTATGGTGATAGTAGCCAGGTAGCATCTTGTAAAGAATAAATCCATCATATCATTAGCACGGCCTTTGAAATCATCATCGCTTTGGCATATGCATCTAAAGCGAACTAATTGTGAGTAACTTTCTTACTGCAAAGCATCACATTAGCGGGAAGGAAATATATTAATCACGTAGGCCCTATTTATTTTAATCTGGCTTTAATTGCCCAGTGAGATAAATATTCGGACTTATTTAAAGTTAGTTAAAAACTCAACATTTGTTATTAGGCCTATTCTGGTTTGTAAAAATGGATTGCCTTTAGTGAAGCAATAGGTTAATTGACTCTTTTCAATAATTTAAGTTGTATTTTCATACACAGCAATGCCAAAAAGAATAGAATCCAAGAAGACCAATAATCCAACATGTGTGAAGTTCACAAATCAATCACCAAGGAGTGTGAGATTAATCTGGTTGAACTTTGTTGGGGAACCAACATTTTATAATAAAACACAAAGACTAGACTGTTGCCAAATACATGTTGTGTTATACAGACACATTAGGAAGTGGTTGCCCTGAACCTTGCTGAATCCTGTCAGAACTCCAATAGTGCTAGTGCTAGCCTCTCTAGGCTAGATATAGAGAGGCCTGCTAGCGACTTAGCATAGGCCTTGATGATAGACTTTCCAAACAAAAAAAGATAATCGTAACGAAAAATAAAGAATCGTCCTCAATTTATCTTCTTAAAATAACTTAAAATAACACAGCGTGTTGATTAATTAACTTCAAAGTTTATTTTTTTTCTCCGTGGAATTTCCCCCACCTTTATTTCTATCTCTTTTTGTTACGCTTTGATTTTTTTTTTTGTCATCAATGACATAAAGTATAAAAATTAAAACTAAATTGCACTTAAAAAGGGTCAGTCCACAATGGCTGACTGTAATTTTTTGAACTCATCTTTTAAACTTTTATTAATTTCTAAAAAAATACATTAATATACTGTATTCTTTTTCTTTTAGGTTCCCAAAATGTAATTCATCAAATATGTTAATATACATCCCATTCCAAAATTGTACTTACACACATGCACATGTATATACTGTATATACACACGCACATACATACAAACCAATACCATATATTCCTACTTATACATTTTTTTTATTTCAGCAATTCTAATTGTTCTTCTTTTACGTACAAAACAGAACGGTAACGTATCCTACTGATGTAATATCATTGATAATGTTAATGAAGTCAATACCATCTCAGATCAATAATTAATATAATAATCTTTATAATAATTAAAACAAAAGTCAAGAACTTTCTTTTAGTCATTTTGTAACGTTTTCAAACATACATCATTATATTAAGTTTATACACAACTTCAAAGTTAGGTAAATATGATTATATATGATATTTACAATGATATATTAAAATCCCATAATTCAATTGTCCTCACGAACAGAATAATGAAAGAAAGTTTATGCAGCATTAGTGTTTTATAAAGTGTTATACGTGCGCATGCTGTGTGGTAACAACATGGCGCCATGTTGGCCAATCTACGGCTCTGGCATAGCGCAGAGCCGGCCCACATAGATAGAACTGTGATAGAACATATG